ATGGATGGATGGATGGATGGATGGATGGATGGATGGATGGATGGATGTAAGATTCTTGTTATGCATCCATCTGAGATGTTTGTTCTGTCTTTCCTGTATGATTTTTTTTCTTTCAAATAAACACTTTTGTAAATTGCCTGCATCTCTGATTCTCTCAACCATGAACTCCTCTTTGCATGAGTGGTTATCTCTGAGACCTCCAGTTTTCAACATGTTAGGTTAAACTACAACTATAGGCGTCAGAGTGAGCATGAATGTTTATTAGAGCTGTTTTTATCTGAACATGATCAAACGGGCTCATGAAGCTGATGTCCAGACCTTCTTCAGATTGGAGTTATTTTAACAAATGACAATATTTCTCTTTGGTCTTGACCTCACACTGACGAGCCGTGAACGTAAACTGTTTTTCTAAATGAAAATTGTTCATAGAGTTCACGTCAACAAATCTGAACTATCCCTTTGAACAAAAAAAGACTATTAATTTTTAGTCAACTTAAAACAGCAAATCTTTTTGCAGTGCTCGTAGATGTAAAATAATTTTACATTTTGTTTGTTTATGTACTATTTTAACATGAATTATTTCAAAATTGATCATAACACTTTTTATTATATATATATATATATATATATATATATTTATATTTTTTTGTTTTTTTTTTGTCAAAGGTTTTCAGAAGTATACATAAAGTCAGATGAGAGTTAAAAATAATCTGAGCATCAGCTGGAGGTTCAATAAATACATTTCTGTGTTTTCACGGGATAATTAGAACCATGTTTCAGAATATTGCCCAACTCCAGGGCAGGACGGGGGAGTCTGCAGAGTGAAACCTCTCTCTCCCTGTCGGCCATCTGAGTACACAGACTGAAACTTTCTCAAAACATTATTCTGCCACTCCGGTTCTGGATCTCTGGATCAGTTTGGGATCAGCGTGCAGGGGAGGAGACAGCAGGAGCAGAGGGTGGACCGCTGAACGTCAGCACCTCCCCACAGTTCTGTTGCCTCATTTCAGCTCAGTGGGATGTGGACTCAGAAGGATTAAAGGAAGGAAACCCTGTTAATGTTTTGCGACATTTTGCGCCTTGATGCGCCAAACTGCATCTTGTGCGTAAAATGGGTTATTTTGCGCAGAGTCCAACAGGTTGATCACCTGAGCTCATCATCTTTTTCCTCTCCCGGACTTAAATACCATCTAATTGTGGACCATGTCCTCCTGTCGGACTGAGATGGACAATGAGGTTATGGGATAGCCTGAGCACTTATTTGGTTCTGCTCAGCGCAGTGCGGGTCAGCTCGCTGCGGAGCCAAAAGAGGGGAGCCCCAGCCGCGGAGAGTCCCCTGGAGGTCCCGCCGGTCCACATGCGTCTGGTTGCTGCCTCCCCCAGAATAAACCAGGAGGACTCAGAGGACAGGGGGAGCAGGCTGGAGAGGGGCGAGAAGTGTAAGAAGTTCTGGTTTCTGTGCGGTAAAAAGAGGATGAGGGACTTTTCTCTGAAGAAACTACTTAAAATCGTCAAACATTAAATGTGGTTTTGACATGAATGGCTCACAAAATCTAAACTTGTTGAAAGTGTTTCATGATGTCCTTTCAAACATTAGATCACAGTGAAAAAAACAAACACTTTTTTTAAAGCTGAACTTGGTTGGATATGGTTCACGTCATTTTAAGATTTAAAGTTTTATTTAAACGGTCACATAAAATGTATGACTTCTCAGAGATTTTCAGTTTATCATGTCAAATTAAAGGTCAGGCTTTCTTTAAAGGAAATCACCCTCCACTCTTTATTCCAGAGTTTTTAATCTGAATTATTTCACATGATCTCTTAAGGCTTGAAGCAAGTTTTGGGGATGACTCTCAGCTACTATCACACCAAGTCTTAGTTCAATGTCTCTAAAATTAACTGAACTCAGGTCATTTTTTGTGGTTTTTGTATTTATTTGGCAGTGGCAGCCATCTTGAATTTGATAGCTTCTGAATGTCCAATCATTTTTCAAGAGTTTCATTGTGATCTGCCCAGTGATTTATTTTGCTGACAGAGAGAGTTGACTCAAGTAGGTAATGGTAAAGTTCAAAAATAAATTTTGTGCAGTCAGTCAGTGCTCACAGTATGTGTTGCAGATTACGCTCAGCAGCTGAAAAACCCATGCTTAGCTCAATTTTTGTCAAACTGGCTGAGTTGTTTAGTTATTTTAGCTATATCGAAGGTTGTTAGACTTTCTGACCATCTTGAATTGAAATGACTCCAAAAGGTAATCCGTTGTAGATCTACATCCAGTGAATACTTTCTGAAAGTTTCATTGAAATCCGTTCCATAGGTTTCTGAGATATTTTGATTACAGACACAAGCTCACAGACAAAATTATTGCAACAAATACCCTTGAAAACCCACACTGACATACAAAAACTTGCATACATCCAAGACTCGAACTGGAGAGCTTTTTAATCCAACAAAATTAAGTGAGGTCTTCTGGACAGTTTCTTTTTGTTGAAACGTTTCGTCTTTCATCCAAAGAACTTCATCAGTCCGAGGAGCCACAACATAGTGGGTCAACCAGTTTGATGGTGATAAGATGGTTTCTGGAGTCCGCCCTCTCCCCGGTCGACTTGTCTGAGGCAGCCATGGCCAAAGTTGTTCAAAACATCAAACTTTTGTTGCAGCTCCATAGACTGATGAAGTCTTTTGGATGAAAGACGTAACATTTCATCAAAATGAAACCGTGCAGAGGACCTGACTTAACTTTGTTGATTTCTTGATACAAGGTCGGTGCCACCCCTGAACCTATACTTTTTCATTATTGCCACTGCCGAATGCAGTATAGTTGTTGCCTGTTTTATTTTTTACCTGCTGTCTTGTGCAGAGTTGCAGGAGCTGGTGCCTATTTCCAGCTGTCAAGTCCATCGCAGGACACAGAGACAAACAAGACAGGCAACCATGCACACTCACATCCAGTGACAACTTATTAACCTCACATGTTTTTAGTTGGTGGGAGGAACCTGGAATATCGTGTGACATCATGAGCGCCGCAGTATGACCGTATTGACAGGAGCTTTGCTTCAACTCAATCTATTTTGTTCCTGTTGTTTTTGTTTTAACTGTTTTGCACCTCCACTATGCGGGTAAGACCACAACACACTTTTGGAGTTTTCTGTGTTGCTGCCTTGCCATCATGACATCATGACGTCTTGCCATCGTGGTTCAGTTCCTGGCACCCCTCCAGCTTTGAGCTCAGGCTCCGGTCTGTCATGGCGGCCGTCTCCATGATCCTCCACCTGCCTGCACGGACCGAACTCTACGGATCTGTTCAACTCCGCGGGGAAAACCTTGGATGTTCTCTGTCTGCTGTACCCAGTTCTGGAAGGCAGTCGGTGAGGGCAGCTGCTGCTGTCGTTATTACCATCAAGCTGCTAACGGGACCTGCTAACAAGACCATGCCGCTAACAGAACAGAACCATGCTGCTGAAAGAACCTCACTGCTGACCGAACCACATGCAGATGTATTTCTTTCTCACTTTTGGCGCCTTGTTTTTGGTATTTTTGCTGCATGCTTTGGTATTTCTTGTTGTTTCTTTTTGTGGCGAGTCGAGACGGTTCTTCTCGTCCTCAGCATTTCATTGTATTGTTGACCTTGTGTTGATTTTTGCATATGACAAATAAACCAAACCTGAACCCGGAGAAGCATCATATCATTGAAACTGAACCTTCAGTTCCATGCAGAAAGGGCCTAACCAGGTTGTGAACCTGCATCCTTATTAATGTGTCTAACCACAGCTCCATCGTGCCGCCTACACAAACCATTTGACAGATTTCACTGAACCTCTCAGAAAGTAATTATTAGTTTTACATTTATAACTGAATAAATTTTGGAGGCAACCAAATTCACAATGGCCACCACAGCTTAGCCAAAACAAAAATGGCACTAACACTCAGATTTACCAGTACTGAGCTAAAGTTTGGCCTGGTGGTGGTTGAGTCCAGGACCAACAGAACTGTCTTTAAAAGACATTAATCAGTGTGATGTGGAGCGTTTTGTGAGAATGTCTTTTTTCTTAACGTGTTTCAGACTCTTTAAAGAGGCGCCTCCCAGATGATGAAGAAATAGTGGAGTTCATCAAGGCAATGATCAGTCGAGTGCGTCGCTCCTCCTCATCAGCAGAGTCTTCGTCCACCTCCTTCTACTCTCTTTCCTCCACTAGAGAAAACCTGAACTTCAGGACTCGTCACAAAAGCGAGACTAAGAAGAAGAAGGGTGGCAAAAAGAAAGCAGGAGAACTCGGAGGAGAGGAAACGAGCAGGAAGAGGAGAAGAGGAGGTGGTGGGCGAGGACAGGGCTGCGCTCTCAAACAGATCCACCTGAACGTGTCGGACCTCGGCCTCGGCTACCGCTCCAGTGAGGAAATGATATTCAGGTACTGTTCGGGGCCCTGCAGGAAGTCCGAGACCAACTATGATAAAATCCTCTTTAACCTGGTTCAGAAGAGGAAGCTTCCTCACAAAGACACGACCCTGCAGGCCTGCTGTCGGCCCACGGCCTTTGACGATGACCTCTCGTTTCTGGACGACAGCCTCATTTACCACACGGTCAGGAAGCACTCCGCCCGGAAATGTGGCTGTGTGTAGCAGGATGTGGTGATTTGAGTCTCAAGTAATTAAGACTTGAGTCTACCTGCAAATGATTTCTCTTAAAGAAATCTCATGATTTACTTTCTCATCTCCAGCTTGTTTTCTTTACAATCTACAAATGACAAACACTTTTTTATTTTTTCATATAATTTAACCTGATTTTTCCAGATACTCACCTCCAAAAAAGAGGAACTCGGTTGAGCTCGTGTGACCGATAACCCAACAGCTCAGTTTGTCCACTGTCTTCAAATATAAAATGTATTTATTAAATGTAGAATATTGTAACTTATTCATATTTATTTTGTTTTATAAGATAAATAAAAGTAATTTATTGCTGTGTTATCTAAGAACCTGACAAGTGTTTCAATAACAGATTTATTTTCACATAAAGTGTTACACATTAGCACATTTTATGTTGTGACAGTCAAGTGGGCATTCGATGTTTCACACCACAACACATCACGTGTCAGTCAGCAAGATGTGCTCACTATGTGTTTTTTAAAGAGATTAAATTTCTGGAAATGTGTATGACAACATCCTGCAGCTTACATTTGTGTTACCTCATGCAAAAAGCATTAAGATTAATGAGTAAAATAGCAGCTATTAGCAACATGTCCTTTAAAAATGTGTTTAAACCAAAACCATGACCGTGCTCAGATTATTCTTCCATGCACGTTGGATTTCATTGCTGCATTTTCAACTATTGCTGGTTTCTTGCCGAGTATTGTGTTTTACAGCAGGGAATTTTCAATAAGTAATGACTGAGAGGCTCCTAGAAAATAGCCAACTTTAAATAGCTTGATTTGGCTGTCAGGACTGTCAATAAAACTGTGGAAGAAGTGGAAGTACAAGCACAACAAAGTACTCAAACTCCCACTAGTAACACTGTAGTATTTGTGTTCAAGACCCTCAGTTTGCTGTGGACAGATGCATAGTCACAAAGTGAAAACAACACTTTATTGCAGCTCTTATTTATTAATTTATGATCTTAAATGTGCCGTCTTCGTTTTGTTTTTGCTGCTTGGTTGCTGCCATCCGTTGAGCCAAAAAGAAACACTGTCTTGTGTTTCGTTAGAGGATTTTTATCATAATTTATACAAAAAAATTACAATGTTGGACATTTTTACTTTACATTTTCCTGTTTTAATTGGAAATTTTCACTTTTATTTAAAGATTAATTCATATATTCATCTCAGAGTGTAACATTTTGAGACTGCAGTTGTTTTAAGATGGCAACAATTAACTTTGGTCTGGGCATCATTCAAATTAGCTGTTATCTATGACAGGTAAGATATTTATTGTTCAAAAACATCCCACAAAGCCCCACTGCAAATGGCCTGAACTATTGCTTCAAATAAACCTAGTAATCACTGCAGCCTCAAAGAAGTCTACTTCTGTTTTCTTAAAAAAAAGTAATAATAATATTTAAATATGGTAAGATGAATGATGAGCCTTTCAGTGTAAAACAGAAAAAAAACAGCATATTTGTGTAACAACAGAGCTTTCATGCTGTTCCTTAACAATTTAGAGGAATCATAAACAAACTTTGATGTTACTGAATGACAGGAAGAAGCATTTGATCCAGAAAAGACTAAGATCAATACCGACAGCGTTGTGTGGAGAAGGCGAGGCTGGTGTGAATGGAAAAAGGATGAAAGGTGAGAGTCAGAGCGTCTTACAGCACAAAGAAAACTACGCCCATGAATGAGCGATGAAGTTAAAAGCTGATGTTGGAAGAGAAAGGGGAAGGCAAAGAAAAGGTGGAGTGATTAAAAAGAGGCAAAAAAAAAAAAAAAATCCAGAGCAGACAAAAGGCAAAGATGTCTGAACTGGAGCCTGCAGAAGAGGCCGTGTCTTACTTAACTAATGGTCGAAATCTGACCCTCTGCCGTTTGCTCACGTTTCACTCTGCTGACTCCTCAACTTTGACTCACGTCATCCTCCTTTAACAACCGCAGGCACAGGTTTAACTAGTACTTTTCCACTCATACCTTTTCCATTTTAAGAGTGATTCTTTGATACATTTTATTTGAAAAGGACAATAATAGGATCACACTGATGGAGTCTGATTTTTTTTTAGATTTTATTGGCGCTTGTGTTTCTGCTTCAGGGACGGTTCAAAACATGAAGTTACAAAGAAGTGTACTTCCATGTAGAGTTGCATTCGGGCCCAAAAATCTGACCAGACCCGGCCCCAGCCCGTAGCCATCACTTCTGAACCCCACCAGACCCGATGAATTAACAGTAATTACAGCTTCAAACCCGAAAAAGACCCTGACATTTTTAATTAAGCTTTGACTGCTTATATTATTATTAATGGTCGGCGGACGGGCGGGGCTAATGGGGCAGAAGATCGGAGCTGAGGGGGTGTTTGTCCTTTCATGGCTGTCAAAGTGCATTAAATCCCTGCTTCTGCGTGCATTCTGCATTATTCAGACATGGACCCTGCTCTGACATGTCTGCTTTGGGATCTCACCTGTTTGGGTCATCGGCCGCGCGCGTCTGCTGAGTTCAGCAGCTGAATGAATGTCCATTCGGGCGATGGATCGCGTCCTGGCAGTACCGGTAGTCCCATCCGAAGCTTCACTGACCTTTATTTTACTTCTTTCAAGGCCGGTCAGCTCGCGGTCAAATGGCCGTGTGCAGCTGGTGATTGTTTGGCAAGCCATGTTGTCATTTATTGAATTGTATGGCGAGCCATGTTGCCATATAAATGGATCGCAGCTGATCCGCTTACACAATGAAAAGCCGGACACCGACCCAGCCTGCCCTTCCAGCGCATTGTATGGCCCGAAGCCCGGCCCAAATTCGGGCCGGGCTTCGGGCCCGAGTTAGAAATGACAGCTCTACTACCATGTACTTGATATTTTAATAATTATATCTGAAGCGATTCACCTGAATCGAATTATTCTGATGATTTGTGTAAAGTCTGTGAATTTCTTAAACAAGCAGGAGAGGAATTGAAACAAGCCAGTTTGAACTTTGCTCTGTTGCATTTAGGTCCTTCATGAGAACTGAAGATGCTTAGGAGATTGTGCTGAAAATGTGGTTATTTTCCAGTTGTTCACATAGTAACTTCACAGCGAGCGATTATCTACAGGAAATGTGCTCTAACAGCGTGAAATACAAGGGCAGGCAGTACATGATGCAAAACGTATGGTGTGGAAATAGCTGTGTTTCCTTTACAGATCGCCAAGAATACCACATGTACAAGTAGCTTTAGCGAGTGGAAATCAAGAAGGCGTCAGAAAAGACTCATCCAGCAATGTCGCAGCTGTTTTCTAACAAGATATGTAGCTGGAGAGGACGGTCTCCAGAACCTTTGTTAACTGGAAACAGCTCAAACTGTGGTGCTTTGGGTTAGAAATGTCAGACGGCAGGTATACTGCAGAACCAGAGTCAGATTATTAGATAAAAGTAAAACAACCACTTTGTGCTTTCCTAAACACTTCACAAAAATGAAACTATGAGCAGGCAAAAGCCTAATTAACTATTACCTGGGCTATTTTAGACAATGTAAATCACAAGGCTGTCAGCTGTAGCATGTGGACAACAGAGGAAGCCATTAGAGCTGACCGTCAGCCTAAAGACAGTGTTGTTTTCTGTTCCTTTGTTAGGTGTGACAGACGAGCTTGTAATGAAGGATATTGTTCCTCTGAGGTGTAATTCAACACAAGTGTTAGTGGTTTCTGTGGTGGTGCTCAAACTGGTGCTGGGAAAGCTGTCGACACATTTATGTTTTTTAAGAGATGAGTTGCCCTGAAGAACAGAATCATAATTATCGTCTCTGTCACCGGTCCGGACCCAGACAGACACACTTTAAGTGGATTTATCATCAGGCTCTGTGTGCTGTACGCAGAAATAATTAAGTAATCATTACATAATCATTAGCTCTTTAGAAATCTTTGATCGGATTTTTCATTTGTTCTTATCCAATAATAACTGTCATAATTTGTCCTGCATTGCTTTCTTTTTTATGTTAACAAAGGAAAAATTATGAGGCCCTTAAAAAAACAGCTCAGATTTGTTTGAACTGGGGTTTTGTGTAAGGGCACGAACAATAATTATCTTACCTGTTGTAGATAGTTCTTTGAACGGCCAAGTTTGGAGAAATAGAGTTTAAATCTGATAAACTGATGAGTTGACAGCTAGTTCAGATGGGGCCAAGATTAAAGTGAAGTTCAGCTTTTCTACAACTACTCAAATCCAATTTTAAAAACAATATGGTTTTATAAACATTAAAAGGCTGTTTGCACAAACAGCAGCAACAGCAGCTAGCCATAGCACTTCTGGTTCAGCCCAGGACACTTCCTGTAAGAATATCATATTTGTGCTAGAAAACTTATGTAAACTCACTAATCTAGACAGAAATCAACTCAGGTCATTCAAAAAACTGCTAATCTACAACAGGTAAGATATCAATAGTCAGTAATCCCAATAAAGTTGAAAATTTCTGCCAGCTTCAATTCAAATTCAATTTCAGAAATACTTTATTAATCCCAAAGGGAAATTACTTGTTGTTGTAGCTCATCCTGGTTTCATTAGCGTTGTTCTAGATGCTGATGGCTTTGGGCAATAAGGATCTCTTGTAGCAGTCCATCCCACAGCAGATCTGAAGAAAGTGGATGCAGATGCTGATCAGTCCACTCAGACCCAGCAGACCTCTTGGTCCTCTTGAGCAGCAGGACTGCCTGAATGCCGGGCAGAACTCCTCCCCGAGCAATGGCCATTTCTCCCAGGGGCTGCCGAGCCTCTCGTAGCCGCAGACTTAACTGCAGGTGCCGGGGGACGATCTCAGTCTTCCTGCTGTCACGAGCCGTGTTTTCCGCTACCTCCAAGATCTTGGCAGTCAGGCACTTTAACACAGCCTCCAGGAAGACGGGAATGCATCCATGGCACCTCCTTTTCAACTCATTTGGGATTTGGGGCTGTAGTTGAGGCCTTACTTGAGCTTTTTAGATGTTAATCAGCTGCTCCCAGTTGTAGAAAACCACCTT